TAAGTATGCATAAAATAAAATGCTTTTTGTCTAAAGAAATGTAAAACAAAAACAGAAGCTGACATGGTATAATAGAAAATTGATTTGGAAAAATAAGTCTTGGGTTTTTTTCTGATTATATCACATTTAGGACCTGAATTTTTTCTCTATAAGTTTTTTTTTCTTTAACTTGCATACAAAATATTGATTTTATTATGGGATTTTCATACATTGTTTTTCTTGATTCTGTACTCCCCTGACCCCTGGCCCAGTTCCCTCCTATTGGTTGCCTGCCTCTTCCCACAAGACCCTTTTTGCTTTCATATCTCATATATTTTGCTATCCTCTATTTTGTTCTTTCTCCATCTTAGCCCTTTGTAGTTTCATAGCTGCTCTCATGTCTATAAAACTGAAACCGACGTTACAATATGAGAGAAAGCATGTGGCATTTGACTTTCAGCTTTCTGGGTCTGGGGTACTTTGCTTGATGTACTAATTTCAAGTTTCATTTATGTTTTGCAGATGTCATGGTTTTTTTTTTTTTATGTCAATTTTCTTTATGGCCAAGTACAATTGCATTGTCTATATGTCCTTACCCATTCATGTATTGACGGACTTCTAGGCTGGGCTCATTTCTAGCTGCTATGACTGTCAGTAAACAGAACCCAGTGCCTTGTGACCTGACAATTTATTTGGGCCTTAATTTCTTCTATAAAATGAGAAGATGGAACCCAGTTGTTGAAATATGAGTGGCGGGGCTGCATCCCCAGCACCCCGGTCGCCTGGCTAGCTTATGCCTAGAAATAACAACACACAAATTGTATTCATTTAAACACTGCTTGGCCCTTTAGCTCTAGCCCTTACTGGCTAATTCTGATATCCCGATCAACCCATCTCTAATAATCTATGTAGCATCAGTCTTACTGGGAGGATTCTAGCCTATGTCCATCCTGGGTCGGAGCTTCATCGTGTGTGTCTGCCCTGGAGTGGGGCATGGTGTCTCTCTCAGGCGTCTGCCCCCAAGAAGAGAGCTGTCGAGTCTGAGCTCACTTCCTCTTCCTCCCAGCATTCTGTTCTGTTTTCTCCACCCACCTGTGTTCTAACCTATGAGGGCCAGCCAAGCAGTTTCTTTATTTTTTTAACCAATGACCTTCCTCCATCACCCAGTTATTTGTACCATTTTTGGTAATGGTTTCTTTGTATTTAAGCTTCTAAGTCAGCTGCAATTGTTAAATGAATTGACCATCAAGATGTGTTGAATCAGTTTAAAGGAAGCATTTTATAATAATACAGCATATAGAGAAACATTATGTATTAGTCCCTTTTGAGTCTGTGGAATAACAGACTAATGAGTAAATTTCTTGATTTGGAAAAAGGTGTTGATATGATGCACATGTTTTACATATGAGAAAAAAAAACTCAGTTTTGAATCTTCCTAAAACACAGTAGAGAGAGAGAGAGCACAACTAACGGGAAGCATTCCTATATGCTTTAGAGCAGTGGTTCTCAACCCGTGGGACGTGACTCCTTAGGGGTTTTGAACAACTCTTTCACCGGGGTAGCATAAGTGGTGCGGGAGAATTGTCTGCATTCTGTCAATCATATTTTAAATAAATGCTGGTTGGCCAGGGAGGAAATATAGGTGGGAAAACCAGACAGGAAGTAGAAATGATGTAATGAGAACAGGAGAATTCTCGGAAGGAGGAAGCTGATTCCTCCCACTCCTGCCCAGACCACCGAAGCAGCAGGATGTGATCTGCCTCACTGCAAAAGGTACTGAACCACATGGCTAACATAGATCAGAAAAATAGGTTAATCAAGATGTGAGAGTTAGCTAGTGAGAGGCTAGAGCTAATGGTCCAATCAGCTTATAATTTATGGAGACCTATGTGTGAATTTCTCTGGGACTAAACAGCTGGGGGTACCTGGTGGGAGGACAGAAACCCAAACAAACAAGCCACCCCCTCCATGTTACACATAAGACCATCAGAAAACACATATTTACATTAAGATTCATGGCAGTAGCAAAATTACTTCTTATTTTGTTGCGGTAGCAATGAAAATAATTTTAATGGTTGTGGGTTACCATAACTTGAGAAACTGTATTAAAGGGTCACAGCATTAGGAAGGTTGAGAACCACTTGCTAAACCATCCAGAGACAATAATTCTGAAGAATTTTTATTTGTGGTTGAAGAAATGTCATTTGCCTTCATTTGCTTTAGGATATAGAACTCTCTGCATTCTGTACACCACTAGTCTTGGCTGCTTCCTTTGTGTTTCGATACCCCACCTGTAATACTCCAGACTGATCCTGTAGGACTGTGAGAAGGCCTTGACTTTGGTCAGGGGAGAATGCATAATTTACAAGTGCCCCCTGCATTCCTTGTTTTCAATTGGAAAACAAGGTTTTACGTGCAGTGACCATTAGATTCTCTTACGCTCACAGTGGATCTGCTCCATGGTAGTTAAGTAGTGAGTTTGGTTTCTTACATTACATTTTTCATGTTCCCTGGTCTACAGTTGTTTAAAAAGGAAGATGAAATCTTGTTTCTATATGAATCATAAAGTGGTTTGATTAGTCAAGGTATTGACAACTAATACTTTTAACATGTTAATGGAGGCTTTTCTGTTGCTTAAATGAAGATTTTGATTAAATAACATAAGAACTTTTTTCTTCAGAGTGAATTGTGAATAAAGTCTGGCTTCTAGCTTGGAAGGATTTTATTATGTTCTTTGAGATTTTTCTTATTTTCCCTGTTTTTGCATGCTGTTACGTTTTTGACTTTTGACTGAGAGAAGCAGCAGACTGAGAGATGTGACTATGTCACAATGCAGTGCCATCACCTCTTGTGACACAATAGTAGCAAGCATCTAATACTGATACGTGTTTTAAAAATTGATTTTTCTTATTATATCTTTATGTGCATATAATTTAGCATGTAATTTCAAGACATTAAAGTGGGTATTAGCATATAGCCAAACCTTTTTTATCTGATTGACCATATTCTCACACCTTGTCAAAAGACTCAAAAATAGGGCTAAACAATATCTGGTAGAAACTTCATTATTTTATGGAGGCTTCCCCCATCTTGTGTTTGTATTAGAAAACCTTGATTTTTTTACGTTACTTGCAGAAAGTACCTCTCTCAGACCTTTACAACACAAAACTCTTTATAACTAGAACGTTTGATAGTCAGTAGCATATAATTGATTTCAAATATCACCTAGGTCAAATATTCATTTGAGTATAGGTGGTTCTGATTGCATTTTACAGATAAACTCTTTACCACTAAAAATGTAAAAGGCAATATTAGATGTTAAAAAATTAGTTTGTTTTTAGTGTCCTGTAAAATTGTGAGAAGTATTTGAATGGTCATTATCTTCAAAGTTTTATTCCTTACAACTTACTCTTGTGTGATGATTAAACAGAATAAGCTCCCAGTTATAGAACGGGCTTTTTATTCCTCATTTTAATGAGCTACACGGTTCTAGACTCCTGATCAGATCAGATTGTAATTCTATTAAGGACAGAATAAAGAACAGCTAGAACTTGTTTTACTGAGGAAAAACCTTGTAAACTGACGATTAACATCTTGAAGTTGATGGAGTAGTGAGCAGTATGCTGAGAGACATGGGACTTTTCAACTGCAGTTTCACTATCAGTACAGCCAGCTCTAGAACCTGTGTGCTCCTGCATAGATAATGACTCATCCTAGGGGTCCTGACCCCCAGCAAACCTCCATCTCCAAAATATTTACACTGTGATTCATAACAGTAGCAAAAGTACAGTTATGAGGTAGCAACAAAAATAATTATTAAAATTATTTTAAAAATAATCGTGACCACAATATGAGGAACTGTATTTAAGGGTCACAACATTAGGAAGGTTGAGAATCCTGGTTTAGATGATTATGTCATTAATGCTTTATGTGTGTGTGTGATAGGAATCTTTAACCCTTGCTGAAGAGAACTCTGTTAACATGGACTCCTTTTGACAACTTTTTAACTTCTGAACCCAAACATCTCCTTTTCTACCACGCATTCAGTTTGAAAGAGCATCCTGCTAGAAACCAAAGTGAATATTGATGCTTTATATCCTTACAGTCTCTGTGGAAAGTGTGTCTAATTACATTTTCTCTTCCTTAGTAATTGCTGTATTGGTAGCATATCTTGAATTGGGCTTAAAATTAGGAGATTACAAAGTAGAGGTCTAAATAGTTTTATATTTTGTCAATTTAAGTTATTACGTTTTGGTGACTATGTTTTCCAACATAGTTTTCTGCTCCTATTCTTTTAGTAGTTATTGAAAGAAAGATATTTAAAAATTTGAAAAGGGATATTGAAAACATATTCAGTAAGAATTATAGTGTTGCTAGCTCTACTAAACTTAGTAAAGCAAATGCTAATTCTCTGGGCAATAGAGGAGGACAGCTAAATCTTAATACAGATTATACAGAATAAAAGTTCACATTTAAGTATAATGAAAGTGTTTGGAGAGAGGGTTCAGAATTTAAAAAAATTATAATGTTTGAAATAATACTTTTTCTTGTTATTGGAAATCTGATTGGAATAGGAGAAATCCTATAAAACCAAGGATATCTATGTCAGTGTCAAATTCAGGTGAGATTTTGCTTTATTAGTAATTATCACAGCCACATAGTAAGATATTTGTTCTTATTGATCACCAATCCCTGAAGAGAGCAGATTTGTGCTTAACTTAATTGTAAATTCCATAATCCTTGAGAAAATTTATGATAAGGAATTTTATTTATATGAGAATTTGATTTTTTTCTTATTTGATTCTCATAAGCTTAAAACATTAGTGTATAGATAAATGACAAGATCTTTATTTTAAGGTATTTATTCTGACAGAGTAATTATCAAGACTTCTGTATAATAATATAATAATAACAGTAGTCATACATGTGAAGACCCAGTGAACTACTTTGAATAAGAACACTTCATTTAAATTATTGTTTTTCTACTTTGTGAAGACCTGAAGAAGACTTAGTTCCTGTAGAAAAAAAAAAAGTGTTGGCAATGCAGTATAAATTTCATTTATCCCCAAGACTGAGCTATAAAGTGAGCTTCTTAGCAGTAAAGCTAGTGCTGGATGCAGAAAGTGAACTTTTGGCAGTACTGTTTCAAAATGAAAACTCATACTTCATTGTCAGAAATAATCAGGAAAGAAATTTATGAGCCATTTTGAGGAAATCGGCAGCTTCATTATGCACACTTAGTCATTGTAAAGTTTGTTTACAAGATCCAGATGAATACATTGGCTAAGGGTTAGTTTCACCCCTCATCTTGACCTTCACAAAGACATTCTAGGCAGGGAGCAGGCTGTATTTCCCCCCCCATGAGGAGGTGCTAGGTTTGAAGCTGAGCTGGCATGTCACAGATCTGGAGGTGGCAGCCGTACTTCATAGAAGCATCACAATGATGCAGATCAGCAGGAGACAGATCAAGATGAGACAGAAATTGATAAAAAGATTCTGGAGATTTTGCCGTGCTTGCTGAGGCATTTCAATAGTTGAGGCTCTCCTGATAGCAGAGCGAGTGAGGTACTGGACTTTCTCCATTATGTTGGAAGGCAATAGCAGGAAGACTGAAGTTCTGAGTGGTCAAGAGCAAGATAAAAAGCTGGTAGTAGGCAGGCAAATGTGAGCTGTCTTCTTTTAGGAGGCCTGGAATGTAAAAATAGTAAATGGATTAGGTTCATACCTAAACCCATTCTCTGGATAGAGATGCACAGTTTTGCATAAATTGATCTTCCTCGTCCCTGTGTTTTATAACATTAACTGTGTCCAGTCTTCATGATCTCTCTGCTTCTATACCTCGCATGTTACTGCAGTCTCATTTGTCTTGTTTGAGCTATAGGAACTGTAGTTTTTGGCAGGTATTACTAGGTTTATGAAATATTGTTGTTTCTTTAAATCTTCTTAGTAAACACAGTTGATGTGAATATTTATTATTATAAGTGTTTCAGGACTAATCTCATAAAACAGCATATAATAAATTATATCTTAATTTTAGTCCAAAATAAAATAGTTCACTGAGAAAGAAGTTAAATATGAAATTAAAAACAGATACAGCTGCTTGCCATTCTCCTTTATGATTTATACTGTTATAGAATCATACAGTGTATTTTGATCACATTCACAACTTCCTCCTGACTCCTCTTCCCAGATCCAACCCCTTGTAGAATGTTTTCAGCTCTTGAACACGATGTTCCTGAGTACTAAAGACTGACAAGCTCAGAGTGCACACAGTATGATTATTGTACTAAACTACCATGGACAGTTCTAGTTTTCAGCTAATCTTGCTTACCTGGAGTGGGTTTTTGTTTGGCTATCTTTTAAAGTTCCTAAACCATTGTAGAATATGTAGGGTCTAAAGCTTTGACAATTAATAAACACAACAAAATGAAGCATATTAATAGGAAATTAGATACAGATTTAAAATAAATTAAGTGAACTGTCTGAATAATCAGCTACTTAAACTTTGACATTATTATTTTTCTTTCATTAAACTATTGTTTATTTATTGTTTAGAGACAGGGTGTTGCTATGCAATCCTGATTGGCCCAGAATTTACTACATAGCCAGTCTGACCTCAAACTGGAGGCCACCATTCTACTTCTTTTTGTCTTTGCATACTAAGTGAAGGGATTACTGTCCTGTACTACTATGCTGGGCTAATATTTTGTTTTTTTTTTTATCAGAACATTTTTCACATGCAGTAATTTACTGTCTGGGGACAACTGTGTCTAGTTTGTTGCTACATCATTTGTAGCAGGATGTTAGTACAGATTCTAGCTGGCAGGTTGGATTTCCTCCCTAGGCTCTGTGCACTGCTTGAACTCACCTCAGTCTGTGGACCCCATACTTGAGACTAGTACTGAGGAGAAGTGAAAAGAGATTGGGAAAGGGGAAGATTTGCGTCAGGCAGAACCAGATAGAACTTGCTGCTTATGTTGTAAAGAAACTCTGTGGTATATGCCAGTCAGATGTTGTAGTTCTCAGATCTTCAGCTTGGCTCTGTTAGGATTTGAATTGTGTAATAGACTGGATTTTCATTTGGTGTGTGTCTCTGTCTTTCATGTGTATGCCTGTGATAAGGAGCCACGCAGAGTCAATTTATATCAAAATCTGTTCTCAAGAGTTAGTAACAGCTTATGTTTGTCTAGCATATGTTCCTGATTGTCTAGCACAGGTGGCTGAAATATCTATAGAATTTCACATTGAAAAGATAGGAGCTCAAGCCTAGCATATTTAATTACTTTTATTTGAATTCTCCAGATAAAATGCTACAGGAATAAAGCAACTTTTTACAGAAAATGCATCCTCAAGTAGTACGTGCTTCTGTTAGTTTATTATAGGTCTCAGGAATTTGTAGTGTTGGAGAATCTGTATATTTTACAAATTCTTTTATAGGAAGATGTATAATGAACTATAGTTTTGAGCAAATTAAAAATTAGTATTGATAATTACTATATTTTTGTAATGTTTCAGTAGTTATTAAAAGATGTGGTTCATACCTATAATTCTAGCATGTATGAGGCCACGACAGGATTGTAAATTTGAGAGCAGCCTAGGTACAAAGTAAAACTGTCACAACACACACATGTGCACATGTATGTGTACACACACACACACACACACACGAGAAAGGAGTGAGCCTTCCAGAAGTTCATCAGAAAGCATATACAGGAGTCATCTCTATTCTGCCAGACACTTGGGGATTCAGTCACATGCAATGCCCCTTGCTATAAACACTGTACTCTTTTTCATGATTGTGCCTTTTGTACGTGTTCTGTTTCTTCCTGGAAGGCCACTTCTACCCCTTTTACCTTTCGATTCTCAGCTACACAAAACTGATCCTTCAAGCTCAGTTTAAACACTACTTCTGAATAAGACCTTTCCAGCCAGTAAGTAAAATCATCTGCTTTGCTGCGTTTCCATGGAATTTTGTGTCGCTAAATCAGGATATCTGGTTATGCTATAGTTTCAGTATATGTGTCATTGTCCCCAACTAGAGCTTCTAGTATATGAGTGAAGGAAGCATATGTTCATTCTGTATTTTGTGCATAAAATTAGCATAATTTAATTAAATCCATAAAGTTGAATAAGAATTTTATGACTAAAATTTTTAGAAAGTAGTTTAAAAATTCAGTGCTGTAATTGTCATATTAATGAATTTGAGTCATAGGATTTGCTATTAAACTCATCATCACTAATATTTAAGTCTCTTCTATTTATAGATGAAGAAAATATGGCTTAGAGAAGGTGTTTCCTAAATTGATAGTTTCTTGTTTAACTTGACATTAAACTGAGTTAGGCTTTGTACAAGTGGGTATTTCGTGTTTGTGAGATACAAAGAGATGTGCTGTCAGCTACTAAAAACACTCAGGGGCTGGAGAGGTGGCACAGCGGTGAAGAGCACTAGCTGCCCTTCCACAGGGTGTGGTTCGCTCCCCAGCACTCAGGTTAGGTCACTCTCAACCACCTGTAATGTGGGCGTGAAACATCCTCTCCTGGCTTCTGCAGGTGCCTACACACATGTACACACAAATAAAAATAAATCTATAATGGAATAAAACATGATTGATACACTGAGGGCATCATCTTACATCACTTTTTATTGAAGGTTTTGTTCAATAAATGAGAGAGTTGTCTATAAAGGACACATAGTGACCAGATCAAAAACTAAATGTTTCTAGGCAAGCTTGAAAACTTGTCATAATTACAAAATGATTTGTAGCAAGTTTATAGTCTTGGCTAAAATTGAAATGAGGAAATGTCCATGGTATGCATTGTTAGTTTTTTTTCTCAGTTTATTTTATAGTGCTTTGATAGGGTAATGATTAAGCTACATTCCTCCATGATGGGGCTTCCTCTTATATGTTGAGAATAGGAAAGCTGAGAGTTAAGAACACTGCAGACCTAATTTTGGATCTGTATGTATCTCACTACAGATGTTGCAGTTTGTAACACAGGGGTCAGGTGTCTTTTCTGTTCCTCATGATCACTACTCTGTAAGTTTGGAGATTCCATAGTCTCTTTTCAACTTTCTTATAGCAACACTCTAATAAACTAATACTTGATTGGCAATATAGAAAAAGAGTTCATTAGCTGATGTTTTTAGAGCATCTTTTAGGATATTCAGAAATAGATTGTGTTAGGATGTAAAATTAGCCTCCCACATCCTTTTTTAAAAGGCCATATATGTTTATTGGGTGTTTACTAGGGACAAGGAGCCTATTCACTTACGGACTTATTTAAAATTTAATCATCCTGCTTTTAGTACCAGAATACTGAAAATAAGAAAGATGTGTGTTTGGTTGTGGGAACTACCAAATCATATCTTTGAACTGTATGGCAGACACAGAAAGGTGCCTGGTGTTGTGTTCTATGTATATGGGACCTGTTCTAATTTTTGGACGGATTGAATGGGATTACCAGTTCTTTTCTGAGTGGGAGCTAGTATGACATTCTTGCTCTCTCTAAAGAAGTTAAAATTGGAACTTAATAAATTATGTTCTAAAAAGTATTTTATTATTTTTTCACTCGAAGGAGGAAAGAGGAAAACCGCAGGCAACCATGATCCTTTGTCATATTGCCAGTAGAGGTGGTGCATGCTTTAATTCTTGCACTCCAGAGGGAAGAGGCAGAGGTAGGGAGGAGCTCAGTGAGTGTGAGGCTAACCTGGCCAACCAGGGCTAGATAGTGAGACACTATCTCAAGGAAAAAAAAAACATCATATACTTTGTTAAGAACTTATTGGGTAGAAGTCATACATATCATATCTTACAGGAATCCTTAACTTCAATGGTATGCTAGGTGTATTCTTGTGAGAAGGAAACCTCAGTAGATTTGGAAATCATTTGGTGGCCTGTCTTACAACTTTCAGGTAATTGGCACATTCACAGCTTTGTATATGATGTGTAGTAATCCCTACTGTAAACACTTTGATGGCCTTGTAGAACTTGCTGAATTGTAGGCTTTCTGCCAAAGTCACATCCTTGAGAATCCTCAAGTTTGTTTTGGGCTTTTGCTGTCTTCTTTTTTTGTCTACTTATTTATTATACTTTTAAGAAACTACAGTCTGACAGACACATTTAGTATTTTTCCCATTTGATTAATTTAGACGATTAGAATTCTGTATAGATTGAGTTTGAGTAAGCAGAGTTTATCTTTGTTAAGATTATTTGGAGATAAGTATGTATGTATCTCTCTCTCACTACATATGTGTGTGTGTGTGTGTGTGTGTGTGTGTGTGTGTGTGTGTGTATGTGTGTGTGTTTCCCCTCCAGGTACTTATTACCATATCACAAATAAGCCAGAAGTTGATTTGTTCCTTTTTTATTTTTGACTTGTTAAACTAAATTAGATTTATAATCAACCTGTTAGTTTATGAAAGTTCACTGTAGTAAAAGTTTAAGATTGCCAGATTGCAAACTGCTAAATTCTGTTGGAAGTTCCTTTGTGGCAGCAGCACTCCAGCTTTGTTGAGCAGACGGAAGTGTCCGAGAATCTTTCAGATGCTTCTGCTAACAGTTGGTAATAATAAAATAGTCTTTGATTTCTAAATTGGCCCAATAAAGAAATACCCATCCTGTTGGCCAGGTGGTGGTGGCACACACCTTTAATCCCAGCACTTGGGAAGCAGAGGTAGGCAGATCTCTGTGAGTTTAAGGCCAGCCTGGTCTACAAGAGCTAGTTTTGAGACAGCTAGGGCTGTTACACAGAGAAACCCTGTCTCCAAAACCAACACAAAACAAACAAACAAAAAGCGAAATACCCTGTTTAAATTTGTCTTGACGCGAGTCATTGAACAACAGGACGGAGATCTTCCCTCTAAATTGGCTCATGGCTCTGCCTGTTTAGTCTGTAGGTTTATTTTTGTTGATGTTAAAAATACATGTATTTGTCTATTAACATAGTCCTATTTTTGGACTGTATAGTCCACACTGCTCTTACTTAAACTTAGTGTCACACTGGTTAGTCTTGAATTCTACAGTCCTGCTTCAATTGGAATTTACAAGTGTGTGCCACCACGCAAGTGTTTTTAACCTTATATCGAGGATTCAGATTCTGTATTTTTAAAATTTTTTTCTTTTTCTTTTTTTTTTTTTTTAAGAGAGTGTAGGGAGAAAGCATTAGGCAAGTACTAAGAAAAATCGAATGTCACTTAGCAAATACTCAACTCTTTGTGAAAGGCCTGGAGAAGTACACGCTGTAAAGCACTAGAGGTCCTCAGTGAGCTGTGGCTCTACTGAGGGAGGGAGGCATAGCTACACTCAGCTTTTCTTTTTTCTTTTTTTCCTTTCCTTCCCTTTCCTTCCCTTTCCCCTTTCCCTTTTCCTCTTTCCCCTTTTCCCTTTCCTTTCCTTTCCTTTCCTTTCCTTTCCTTTCCTTCTCTTTTTATTGATTTTATTGAGCTCTACATTTTTCTCTGCCCCTCCCTGTCTCTCCCCTCCCCTCCAACACTCTCCCATGGTCTCCATGCTCCCAGTTTACTCAGGAGACCTGTCTTTTACTACTTCCCATGTAGATTAAGATCCATGTTTGTTTCTCTTAGGGTCCTCATTGTTGTCTATGTTCTCTGGGATTGTGATTTGTAGGCTGGGTTTTCTTTGCTTTATGTTTAAAAACACTTATGAGTGAGTGCATATGATAATTGTCTTTCTGGGTCTGAGTTACCTCACTCAAAATGATGTTCAGGTTTTATTTTGTATTTATTTGGTAATGCATGCTTCAGAATTGTGTCAGGGAAGGATCCTGTTGCACCATTCTGGAAATGTCCGAAGAAACTATGTTTCATCAGTTCATGCTGCTGTAGTTTAGAAGGGTTATGTTCTTGATTCCCAATTCTGAAGTTTCATTTTTGTTGGTATGGTCAATGTGCAGATTCAAACATTAGATAAAAATTATTTTCTTAATGTAGATAACAAAGCAAGATTCTTTTGCTCAGGAACTATAAGCAGTGACTTTAAGTAGATTTTAAATGGTAGAGTAAATGAGTGAGAAATGATATTGATGAAATATAGGATAGAATATGGGACTGAAATAAAACCTTGAAGTTTTTGTGCAAAGTTATGGGGAAAAATAATCTGAGTTTTAGGTAACAAGCCTAAATGGATTGAAGGCATATTTTTTTCAACAGAGCAAGCTAAATAATTTATGATTTTTGGAACCTATATGGTGGAAGAGGAGAAATGATCCAATGATCTCCACACACATGCCATAGTTGCTCTTTCCCCCATCTCTTTCTCACACATGCACACACACATACATGATAGATAAATAAAAATGTAAAATATGCAGAAATGTGCAAATCCAAACTTAACACCAAGTGTCATTTGTATACTATCAAAGGAAAAGTATTTTTTATGAGTACTGAAGTATTGCAAGGCAGTTTAAGGCTCCTAGCATTAGAGACTCGTACTGGAAATGTTTCTGCATGTTAAGAGTGCTGCCTAGGAGACTCCAAAGTTGCATTTGTCATAAACAATAGTTACTGTTACAGGAATTGATAAAGTTTTATTTTGGTACCTAAGTATGTTATGAGTATAAATAGTGGAATAAAAATTGGTATAATTTTCTATGTGGTCTAATAGATTTAAGGGTGAGAAAACATTTTATTTAGTAAGTTGAGATTTGTAACAAATGATAATCATTTTTTGTGGCATCTCCAATCCTGGGAATTTTGTTTTTTCTTGTGTTACTTCTAAATTTATAACGGGAAATTTAGAAACATTGGAGAATGAAAACTTTACAAGAGTGTATTCTGTTGTGAGATGAATATACATTTATCAAATTTCTCCCCTTTTTAAAGGGTTGAGTTATTTTTTTGTCACTTTAAAAAATTTTATTTGTGTTAAATGTTCTCTATAGTATCAAACTTAAAGCAAGCTGTTCTTTTTGTGAAAGTGGCAGTTTTAGAAGTGTTTAGAAGTTGACTGGACTCTCATTTTAGAAAGTAACATTTTCCAAGAGCATTTTCAAAAGGAGTTCTATTATCTATTCTTAAAATCTCTGATTGTGTCACCTTAAGAACCATACTGATAACATCGGAGTAAGTGTGCTAGCAGTGTGTTTGTCCCACAGTTAATGAGGTATAAATAAATGGTGTCCCACGGCTGTCAGGGGCCCTGTCCTGCACTGTCTCAGCAGAACAACATACAACAAATGAAACCATTTCTATAGCATGAAAATGAATTTACCTCTACCATCATGTATGCTAGTATAGTTGAGAGGGTTTTCAATTGTAAGAAGCTCACATTTGAAAAACCAAAATAACTAACAACCAAAATTTAAAGAAGAATATAACTCTTTTAAAGTTGCCTAATTTTTTTTACTGGGTTTAAGCATTTTGTCATTCATAACAGGTTCTTTTATTATCTATTTTTGAATTGGAATTTGGAAGATAAGATTCTTTTAAAGTTTACTAAGTTTGATTACAGAAAGTAAGAATTTCCAAAATCAGTGATATCGTGTCTTACCTTGGCTTCTGTGATCATCACAATGCCGAGTATTAAGTGTGTGAAGTCTATGGGAGGTTAGCTGTGAGGTTTCTGTTCCCAGGTTTATGGGAACAGCTGCAGTAGGTGGAGGAGGAAAAGTATTCTAGGGAGGTCTTATGATGTCACATAGGAATTCTAACGTTATGATTGGTTAGCTATGTTCTTATCATAACCTAACCTTAGACCTTATCTTACTTTAGCTTTGGAAAGGTCATTAACACTATGCTTCACTTTTAGTTTTTAATTTTAGAATGTGTGTAGCAGTTAACAGAATAAAATAGGTAAGCTTGAAGATACAATTTTACAGCAGATAGCTTTCCTTAAGGAGGTCTGCATCCTCTGACTTAGAGATAATCCTGTATTGCTGGTGCTGCAGAAGAACTAAATCGTTGCAATGGGATGCAAGTAGCACAAGAGCAGTGGTGTGGACTTAGCAGTAGTGGTCATGGAACGGCTGTGCTTTAGGCTGCAGCTTCCAGGGCAGTGAACATCCTTAGGCGAGGTTTGATGCTTTTTCCTGTCCTATTTTATACTTGTGCTTCATATCTGTCTAGGTATAGGGGAGAGAATGTGGATGAGGAAACTAGGTTAATAACGATTTTGGATTTTGTAAAAGAAAGTATTTTTCTTATAGCTGAGGAGGGCAAATGTATTTAATTTATTGTATTTTCTTCAGTTAGGCACTTAATGTTTTCATGAATGATTACATGTTTCAAAAGGTATGTATTGTCCCTAGAAAGACAGTAAAATAGAAGTTTAAGTGCTTATGTTTTTTTTTTGTTTAGCTACATTATATCACCACAAAAACATAATAGATTTTTATAAGCTGTTATAGTACCAAGGGTAGCTTTTTAGAAAGAAATGACTGTAGGTTCCTGTCAGTTGTATGATAATGAGGCATTATTGACTGGGTTCTTAAGTGTTGAAATTTAAGTGTTGGAGCATTTCTGAAAGTGGTTTTTAACTAATCTAGCATTTTCTTGTCTGAACTGTAAGTAACCTTTTAGAAGGTAGATTGACGCCCTCGTAGTTCAGTACTATCTTTGGGTAGGACTGAGTCCTTTGGCAGAGCTGAGCGTTGTCTTACTTTCTCTTCATACACTTTATTGCTTTTACATTGCATGTACGTAAATCAGCACACTTGCACATTCTGAAGTTTAGATTTGTTTAGTTTTGGAGAACCTATTTGTAATTTTTAAAGTGCTTGTAGCAGCATAAACTCAGCCTCATCTTTCCTGTGGGTAGCAGAAATGTGTGACTGTAGCTGCTCCTGAGTCCTTAAATGGAGATGATCTTGGCCTCTTGCAAAGAGAGATGAAATCCTTCTCTTGAACACATCTTCTGTTATTTAAAAGGTTAGTTAAAACCAATGAAAAATATTTTAATCAAAGACCTTCTATAAATATTATTTAGGCAAGTATTTACTACATAAGAGTAAAGTGCAGACTATGTTGTTGCAAGAACTCCCGATCAGTGTTTGACACTTTCCTCGATACTTTACAACTGTTTTCTTTTTGTTCTTGTGTGATAAAATACCATGCTATCAGTTGTAAATACTGCTAGTGATGTGAGGCCTGAGAGGTCTCAGAGGCTATCATAACGTATCAAAGATAATACAGCTGGTAAAGAGCAGATGAGACCTGAGATGAAGATGAGTTAAATCACAGTTCCTGATGAAATCAGTATATTTTAGGGCAAAGTCATAGTTTGGACTTACTTTCATACAATAGTATGTATTATCAAATAAGTTCTTAAGAATTATTATGAATTATTCAAGACTGTTTTTGCAAAGTCTTCTTTGTCCGATACATGCATTTGTTTGGGCATGAAGCTTATAGAAACAGAATGATAATACTTGGTTGGAGAAAATAAGGAATTGCCACAGAGTAAATACATCCTAGTTATTTTGCATATTTGCAAGTTTATTCAAAAAGCATGTATGGCAGACACAAACCTTAGGAGGGTACTATGGGTTCTGACAATTGAAAACTGGAATCCAGGTTCTACTGTCGATGTGTATGAGAGTGAGCACCATTCAGGGTTGCCCTTTTGGGGAGTTAGCTGTGCGGCTCATGATAAATCCTTTGGAATTTTAGGAATTAGTTGCGTTTTAACAAGTTCTGTAAGCAGGTTGTTTAGTAGAAACATTGGTCAGTTATTGAGTGTTGCTCAAAAATTCTGGACCTGAGTCTGGAAAAACTCTTAGAAGTGTTTGTGAGTCTTCCTTTGGAATCCCAGTATCATTGGAATCCAGTTTGGGGCACATGACTTTCAGAAATGTGTGGAATGGTATTGTGGCCAAGGGTTTAGCAACAAGAAGTGTACACAGTGATTATCAGCGATTCTGTGACAAGTGTCCGTTTCATGTTAGTACTCAGGTTCTTTTTGCCTTCAGAGAATGATAATATATGGCCATGAAGAGCTCAAGTCCTTGAACATGTTATAGAAAACAGTTGTTTTTACTAAACTCTAAATGAAATTTGTTTATTCATTTTTTTCAGAAGGCAGACATTAAGAAAATGTAAAGAACAAAACTCTTGAAAGTAGGAAGAGCAAAGAGAGGAAAGCCCTGTTTGTTTATTTTGGACTGTAGACCACAAAACTACTGAAATGCTGGCAGTGCATTTGGCTCTTGCTGTAGAAATGTTAGATACTTTCTTTAAGGTTGAGTTTCAGGGTCTGTGGATTCTATATCCATGGATCCAGCCAAAGCAAATAGAAAGTAATTCAAACTTGCATTCTGAGTGTACATAGACTCGCTCTTTCATTATTCCATAAATAATAGTTTGATAAGTACTTACATACAATTCCTACTACATTTAACATAAGCCACTTAGAGATGATTTACAGTATACATGGGAATGTGTGTGTTAATATGTGCTGTTTTATAAGGACCTGAGCATTTGCAGATTTTGGTATTCAAATTAGGATCTGGAACTAAGCCTTAAAGGTAGGAAGGGAAACCTATTATGGTAATTTGAGATTATTTTGAAATATTGCATTTATCACTGTTTTGAAATTGCCATAATTAGATATGCCTATAGATATTACTTAACGTACCAGGCTTGGAGGTACATATGTACCTGCACCCTGGAGCTTGGGAGGTAGAAGCAGGATGGTAGGGAGTTTCAAGGTCATCATCAACTATGTAGTGCTGGAGACTAGCCCGGGCCATGGCAAACCCTGTCAAAAAAGTCCAAAAAATAATTAAGAAATGTAATGCACTGAAAAGAACCTATATTACTGTCTCACAAAATTGTCTTTAACAATAATTTGATTGTAACTTTTCTAATCCCATTCCCATCTGTTCTACCTTTTAAATGAACAGTTTTCAGTTTCTAGAGTTATGACAGAGATAGTACAGTGTTTCTATACACTTTACATCCAGTTTTCCACATTAGCATTCTCCATTAGTATCTGTGATTATCTCAACAATTGTGTAGATGCTTCCATGTATTTTTAGTAATGTTATTACTTAATTTTTCTCAATGTCTCTCTCTTTAAACTACATTTAATAATCACATCTCTTTTCTGCTCACTTGGTTTTAACAATTTCCTCAAATTTGCTTTTTAAATGATCCTGGTAGTTCTGAAGAATAATGGATATTTTATAGCATCTCCCTGAATCTTGATTATCTGGTGTTTCTCTCATGCTTAGGTTGGTTAATACCTTTCTGGTATTAAGCTCAAAGGGGCAAGATCCATTTCATTATATTCTTTACCAAGGGTCTTTTAAGCTGACATAATGATCACTGTTGTTAACTTTGATCACCTAGCAGAAGTGTAGTGTTTTCAGTCTCTTCCCTATAAAGTTACCCCCTTTCCACTTTCTGAACTGTTCTTTGGAAATATAACTTTCTTTGGAAGAGAACAAACAGGCTTCTTACCTCCCTCATCACTAGGTTCATGAGTGAGGCTGTTAACACAAAAGGCAGGGTAACAAGAGAAAAGCACATACTTTTAAGTATTGCATGTCATGGAATCGTTATAGGAAAATAGCCCAAAGAAACAGGTAAGCTTGCTTTTTTATGTTAGGTTCAATGGAAAAGTAGGCAGTAAATGGGAAGATAACGGGTGTGATCTAGTAATAAAGTAAAGAGAATTTAGCAAGGCTTGACTGTTTAGATCCTTCTCTGGGCCTCTTGATCCTGCAGGTATGCACTGTCATGCCAGGCACACTATGTAATTTCTCTAGGCAGATTATTTATAGTAATATTAAAGTAGTGATAAATGTAATATTCCATGGCATCTGAGTGAGTGTAATAGTGGTCCCTTTCCTTTGGGCGTAGGAGAACCACCTCTCCAGTGAGGAGCATATGATCTGTTTTAGTGAGGTAAGGATGGGAAGACTCGGTGATTTTCTGAGACTGCATGATTTGCTTCAGGGTTGAGGCAAGAGGAAGGTGAAAGTGGCTTTTCTGTGGGTGCTTTTTCTTATGTGCCAAGGTGCCATGTTTTGGGGCAGTGTACTCCAAACCCTATCAAAAGTCATTCTCCACCAACTATATGTTATGTTGTACTGCTGAGGTGTGGACTATCCACAGAGATATTTAGAATTGTACATATTTTATTTTATCCATATAAAAACATGCTGAGAACAGAGAGTTAGGATTCAACACTTTATCAGAAAGGTTCCTGGAACATGAAATACAGAATTCCTGTCCTTTTGAGTTTTTCAGCATGCTGAAAACAAATATTTCAGCTTGGTCTTTGAAGCTCTATCTGCTTTGTCTTGTCTGTTATCACATTCCTCTGTCTTGTGCTTTGACTCTGGGCAGCTTCCTGTGACTCTGTGGACAGGTTACTGTTCTATTCTAAGCCAGGGTACTTTTCACAAGAATGTCCCATCAGAGTGCTTCCTTAGTTATCTTTCTGCGAAGCTTTCCCTGCCCTTTGCTAAGCCATTTTACATTCCCCTGTTCATTTCTATCTGCTCTATGTTAATCTGCTAGACAGATTACAAGCTCTTTGAGAGCCTATTCAGTAACTCATTTTATTTGCTGTTTATTTTTTTTCTTTACTTATTTTGGGGATAAGGCCTTTTTATATATCCCAGGCTAGCTTCAAACTCAAAATTCTCTTCCCTCAGCCTCCCAAGTTCTGGTATTGCAGGTGTAT